AATTATCAGGATAATTTCACCACTGGAATTTCTTATCTCTACTGAACCAAAGGTAAAAGGAGCTGTTGAAAAACTTGAAAACGACAACTTCATGACATCACAAGGTGGATCAGAGCGTTCTGAGCTTTGGAGATGTGCACAGACTGAATGAAACCAAAGACAACTCCAGGTATATTTTTGATGAGGTAACAACATTATTACATTATTACTTCATCTTTGAACACTGACATTTGAGAGAAGTACATACATTTCAAACCATAATGTAGAGGTTTAAAGGTGCATTGTGTAACTTTTCTGGTGGACGGTTCATCTAATGCTTTTCTCCGTGGAGATGTTATTGCTTCATCTGGAATGTTTCACAGTGTGGTATGCACTGTCTTCCTTTAACCTCTTGTATAAAGCTGTGATTTTATATTTTATTACTTATCTTTCTATTTTATTTTGACTTGTACATTTGCATTTATATAATTATGTCTTATTTAACACCTGTCTCTTGCTATCTTTTTGTTACTTATTTAGAATTTATTATTACCATTTATATTTTTGCTCTTTGTAATTATATTTATTGTGATGTGTGAGCTGCTGTGTCAAAATAGTTTTCCTTGTGGAACAATAAAGTTTCTCTAAGTCTAAGTCTAAACATTTCTACCTTCATGGAGACCAAACCAGACCAAGATACAGGTCATATCTGTGGAGAGGCATCCCTATTCACAGTCAGAATGCCTGTTTTTCAAGGTATTTTTAGCTAAAATGTATATATATATATGTATATGTAAGGTAGAGCAGTTTAATATCAAACTGTGGAACATTCAAAGCGATGATATATCCATAGAAACAAGCAAGACAGACACCCAACAAAAAAGTTACATACTCTCTGCTTCCATAAAAATGACACTTTTACACTCTACTTCTATAAAATGACAGTATGTTTTGTTTTCTGCAAAGAACATAATACTAACAACAACAGCGTTTGCACTGTGTCAGCTCAGATTGCGATTTCGACTGGATACTGCGATACTGTGCAGTCCTCATCATGGTGTGGTCCAAAGACTAACGACGAACCGAGCTGCAGTCGGATATTTGTGACAATGGAGATGATGTTGATTGCACAGGCAGGTCTTGCAGCCAGTGAGCTACTCTGATAATGTATGTGTAATTAACTCTGTGGGTGTCCTCCAACGCAGCGCTAATCAAATGACATGATTGTCTGGCTTTGTGGCTGCTCTTAACTGGGTTACTTTAAAATCCCTCTCATGGTGCTTGGACTATGAGACTACAGAAAACAGCAAGGATCGTGCGGAATGAGCTACGTGAACAGAGTTAATGAAAAGAATGCTAATATAATAACAACATTTACTTAATTACTTTAATACTACTTATCTTATAGTTTATATTGCCGTGCTGTTGGTAAATTAAAGTACCAACAAAGTAAACACAAAACTCATTGAATGGAAAATGTAAATGAGAAAGCTATTTAACTGCTACTATTTCAGTTAGCTGTTTGTGCATTTGCTTTGTCCTACCACCATGAAAACTCAACATCTAACAGTAATACTACTACTGCAATGCAACTTTCAACTACTATTGCTAGGATATTATCTCATGACATTATCTTCCTTATATTTTCACCTTTGCTTTGGATAAATAAGGGCTTAACTTTGCTGATTAACTCATCTTGAAGCTATAATACCAAAACACACTGCTATAATGACATCAAAGCTATGAAACTACATAAATAAAAACATTTTGAAGCCAAAGTTGTGAATTAAATAGCACAATATATTTATTTCAAATCATCATTATCATAGTAAAAGCTTATCTTTTATCTCGTGACATGTCTCAGCCCATCCCTAACTGCTACTTCCTGGTAAAAAAAAAAAAAAACAAAAAAACAACTACAAGCAGTCTTTTAGAAAAGCTATTGAATATACTACATGTTTACATTGCAGTACTGTAACTGCTAACTACTCTAATAAAAGTACTCTTCCTATCTCTGCTCATTATTTGTGGTTTGTGAGCATCTGCATGGGTTAAGCAATACCAGCCAGGCTGCATTGACTTCTGACATTTGAGTTTATGTATTTCATCTAAGGTCAAATTGGATTTCGAGTAAACAGGCCACACCATAACCTAACTTGAGGCTAATTCACATGTTAACACTAATCTATTTATCTAGTGCTAATGATTTCTGACAAAGCCCACTTGTTGTTCCAAAACCCTGTCATTTTGAAGAACAAAATACATCCCCTAATGTAAGCCTGCAGCAGCCTTATGATGAAACTGTTAAAAGGCGTCAATAGATGCGTACAGCTCCAGCCTCCAGGGAGACAGCTTTTAAAAGTGGTGCCTGTATTAAGATCAATTCATATCTGCTACACTAATGTGATAATGTGTCCCTACAAAAGTAATGGTGACCCAGATTCTGCGTGTTGCACTGGCGATGGGTGAGATCAGACAGGATGCTGGCATAAAAAGTAGGCGACAATCGAGGCAAAATCATCTTTGAAGGGCATTTTTAAAAATAATTAAGCTAATAAAATATACTTGTAAATATAGCAAGGGACAGCCTGGAGTCAAAGTTATAAAATTGTATGTACAATATATAGAAAGAATAAACAAAAGAACAACTATATAAGAGAGCAATTGTTTACTACTAAAATAAAATGCAGGGGAAGCTTAGTTTTTAACCTTTATATTGTCTGGAAGTATTTCTTTATTTCATTATTCTAGTGCTGTGTTTGCTTTATTTTGAGTCTGTTTGGTTTTGTGTTTAGAATATTTGGCCAATATAATGCGAGGTCTCAACAGAAATCTTTAGGAATGGGCTGTTTGTTGAAGAAAAAGAGGATACCACTTTCCCGGAGACTGATTACATGTTCAGTTTTGGTATGTACTAGTATGAGCTTCTGTATCCAGATTTTTCTTTCTACTGTATAGACCATTGTATGGCGTTTTGACAGAAGTTGCTGTTGTAATCGATGTCTAATTTGAATCTTTCTAAGTTTTTTTGGCTGGGTATGCAGTATATTATGGATTTTGAAATGAACTTCTTTAATTTTGTTATAGATGCAGATGCTTCTCTCCAACCAACCACATCCTGCTCCAATCAATTTCCCCCATGCAGTGAGTTCCAGTATGAGTTTGTTTGGTTGAATAATGTTTGTGTACAGTATTTGAAGGGCGTATAGCGCACATGTAAAATCAAAACATACAATGCAACAAAACAGGAAGAAAATTGGTAAATGAGATCTGTATTAATTTTGACTAAATATCCCGGTATATTTAGAGAAGCCAATTTCACAAATGTCACTTCTTGACTGACAGTAAATGGAAAATATTTATAAATGGTAGAAAATGAGTTTGTGGATTTGCCTCAACCCCGCGGTGTGGAGTTTGCACATGCATAACAACAACTCAATTTAAACAGGGCTGCTGTCAAAACGTGCCTTTTTCTATTAGGGCTTTGCAAGTCAATAAGTCAATGTGTTTCTAAGCAAAGTAGTGCCAGAGCTAACCCAGTTTGAGGGCATCGATGTGTATTCGGAAACAGCATGTGTGGAGTGCCATAACAACATAGAAAAGATAAAAGGCACAAATAGCTGCTGTGTTTTCCTATTAATATACAACTTTTACTGCAGTAACCTCATCAAGATGCAGTCATTTTCAAGGCGTAAAAATCATGTTGTTTTAGCAAATGCATGTTAAAAATAGAGTAGTACACAAAATTATTCTAGGAGTTCTATAAATTAGAACCCACTTGATGCTACATGGCAGTAATAGATTAGATTTAGACTTAGATATTGATCTGCAAGGGAAATTACTTGGACACAGTAGAGCGTATATCACAATATATTATAATAACAAAGAGCAACAATATAAATGGTAATGCTAGTAATCAATTCAAAATAAGTTCCAAAATTTTCAAGAGACTGATATGAAATATTAGCCAGGCTGGTGCCACCTAGTGCCTCCGCTTAATTTCATTTCTCTCCAGCAACTAGGTCAGGAATCAAAATACACTAGACGGTTCACAAAAACTCTGGAAGTGCAAGTTCGGGCACCAGACAATCAGCGAAGAGCCATATATTCAGTGTTGTCAGCGATTTCCGAGATTGAGAATTTAAAGCTGGAATAAAGAGAATGTTTGGTGAATTTTATCAAGGGGAGAGATGTTATTGCCCTTCTTCCTATGGGATTTGGGAAAAGCTTAATATACCAGTTAGCCCCATTAGTGAAGCATTACATTCGTCACGACCAAATAGCAGCGACTGGTTAAATGACAAAAAGTACCCGCCTACCCTCAAGCGAACAAATTCCAACACTGTCAGACGGTTTCTATGACGTTAAACGAAGTGAAACCGGCTGATGAATCAGGCTAATCCAATAAGGCATAATTATAGAAATGTATATGTACAAGTAAAAATAACATATAGAAATATAAACAAGAGGTGGGTATGGAGAAACAGCTTGTGCAAAGATGAAATTTCTAAATTAACAAAAAAAAAAAAAAAAAAAAAGTTAACATAAATTGCAGACTTTTTTGGATGTTGCAAAAATTATGAACAAAATTTGCCAGCAGTGTTGTCAAATGTAAACTAAATTGATAGTGTAAAGCAGAATAAAATAATATAGTTAATTTATACATGAGTGACTTCCTCTTTAACTTGAATCAACAAGTTTGAAATCCTTTGTCTCTCATCCCACAGACTCGTCCCAGTTTAATTAAATGCGAGATTTATTTAAGTAAAACTATTATCTGTCTGATTAGGGCTTAACAAAAAGTTTATCTTTGGGGCTATTCGCACCTAGGTGTGAAACAGACAAACGTGCGTTACATTTGGCCCGCAGCGCATCGAGGCCATTGGTCGAGGTGCGCAGCTCATTTGCATACGCCAGGGTTTATAGCGCCAAAGAGCTCAGACGTGATCACAGTTAACGCGAACAAGACAACTTTGTGCTTCGTTTATGAGTTTTTAAAGTACTTTTTAACCGCCCTCAACATGGGATCTCTCAAAGTTGGAGGACTACTTTTCACGCTGTTTCTCCATCTGGCTCACTGCACCACCACCAGATATTTCACGTACGAAGAAGACGCACCCGGAACACAAATAGGAAACTTGTCTCAGGATTTGAAGATCGACCCGGCTGAGGACCCCGACACTTCGTTCCGCTTCATGCAAGAAAGCAGCTCGTCTGTAATTCAGATGAGAGAGATTGACGGACTTTTGAGCGTGGCGGAGCGAATAGACAGAGAGCAGCTTTGCCCCAGGACGCCCCGTTGCCTCATCTCCTTTGACGTCGTCGCCTTCATCAAAGAGAAATTCCAGCTTATCCACGTTGAAATCGAGGTGAAAGACATCAACGACCACGCTCCAGTTTTCCCGCAAAACCAGACGCGCATTGAAATAGTTGAGAATGTCCCAGTGAACTCCCGATTCCCACTAGACATCGCTTTGGATCAAGATGTGGGCGAAAACTACATTGAAAGTTACAATATCAGCGCGTCTACTCACTTTGCCATTGAAGTGCGCGACCGTGATGATGGCGTGAAGTATGCCGAGCTGGTCCTGATACACGAGCTAGACAGAGAAGTTGAGGATTCCTACACCCTTGAAGTAACCGCGTCAGACGGGGCATGCCTTCAAAATCAGGCTCCGTGACGATTTATATCAAAGTTTTGGATTTCAACGACAACAAACCTACTTTTGAACACACTTCGCTAAAAGTTGAGCTGAACGAGGACTCCCCTGTCGGCCACAGAGTTTTGCGCGTGCACGCCTTCGACCCCGACGACGGCGTGAACGGAGAGGTGACGTACGCGTTCGCAGATGGACTCTCACCTGAGGCGCGCAAACTTTTCAACATCGACTTTTACACCGGGGACGTGACCCTAAAATCCCCGGTGGACTACGAGAAAAGGAAATCATACGAACTGAATATTAAAGCGTCTGACTTGGGGGATAACTCTCTCTCCTCCAGCTGCAAAGTTTTCATAGACGTAGTGGACGTGAACGACAACGCACCGGAGATCATCATCAAGCCAATGACGTCCACGAGTGACGGCGTGGCGTACATCACGGAGGCTGCGGCCGCGGAGAGTTTTGTGGCGCTCATCAGCACCTCGGACAGCGACTCTGGCTCCAACGGGTACGTGCGCGTCTCCCTCCTCGGGCACGAGCATTTCACCCTGCAGCAAGCCTACGGGGATACTTTTATGATCATCACCACCACCACGCTTGACAGAGAGAAGATTCCTGAGTACAACCTGACCGTGGTGGCTGAAGACCTGGGCAGCCCTCCTTTTAAAACAGTAAGACAGTACACCATTCGTGTCACAGATGAGAATGACAACGCACCGCTGTTTAGTAAACCTCTTTATGAAGTTGGAGTGATTGAAAACAACATCCCTGGTTCCTATGTGATGACAGTTGTGGCCCGTGACCTTGATATAGCCAAGAACGCGAAAGTTTCATACAAACTTATAGATTCAGAAGTGCCAGGAGGATCCCCAGTGTCTACGTACGTGTCAGTAGATTCCGTTAGCGGCTCTGTCTACACTTTAAGATCATTTGACTACGAATCTCTAAAGCAAATTGAGTTGGTCATCCAGGCAGAAGACAGCGGCTCCCCCTCCCTGTCCAGCACCTCCACCATCCGCATCAAAGTGGTCGACCAAAACGACAACGCCCCTTACTTCACCTACCCCATTCTTGTTAACGACTCTGCCGACATTGGCCTGCCATTCAACGCGCCCGCCGGTTACCTGGCCCTCCGCTTGGCCGCCTTCGACGAAGACGAGGGCGTGAATAGTGAGCTGTCCTACCAGATCGTTCAAGGTGACCCCAAACTATTCACTATTAACAAAAACAACGGAGAAATCGCCTTAAAACAATACCTGACCGCCGAGATAGGAGACGTGCTCGAAATGCAAATTAAGGTGACAGACAGTGGCAGGTCTCCGCTCTTCAGCACTGCCTCTATCAGATTCATAGTCTCAGATATGGAAGCCTCAGAGGACCAAGTTGTCATTGTGCTACAGTCGAATGATGAAGGCATAGACTGGGACGGCTCACTCATTATTATTATAGTCCTCAGTGGGGGTTGCGCACTGCTGTTGATTGCCATAGTAGTCGTAGCGGTCACGTGTAGACTCAGCTGTGGCCCTAGAACCCGGCCTTCGAAAAGTGACACCCTGTTTACCAGCGTTCCCAGCGAAATCATCTCCTCCAACATCTACACGGGTCACCAGAACTTCTACCACGAGCGCACGTCTTCATCCCTGGAGGAAAGCTGCTTGTACGAGGAAGGGAAGAGTGGCGATTCTGAGACAAAGGTGAGCTGTTTTTCCCCCCAAACTATTTTCATATTCATGTGATGTTGCCAAGTGCTGCCTTGATCTTTGTGCCAAATATAAAAAAAAACTAATCCTTTGCTCTTGTTTTGTTTGTTCTTTCAGATGTTCCTGCCCTCCAAGCGTTTCCAACCAGCATCCGTGTGGCAAGGCGACAAATACAGCCTTCAAGTGAGGTAAGAAAAGTCAATGTGAAGATACGTCGTGTTCATTTGCATAGATGTCTAAAAATGTGTTGTAGGGAATAACAACTCTTAGGTTGCACATAATAGTAGTCATCGTAGTAGTAATTTTTGTTAAATTTTTGATAATTAAAAAAAGTAATATTTCTAGTTTAGGCATGCTCAACTGTTTATGGCATTTAATATTACATTAGCATAGTAATTTAGTTTAGACCAGATTTTCTGTTATTTTTTCCTATTTACTGCAAACCCATATATGATCTGAAGCTTTTCACGCTATCAAAGGAATAACCTCCATTAGCAATTCTCTGTATACAGCTCTAGTTAACATGCAATAGGCACGTGTGTAGCTTTGGAAAATCAGGTCAAAAGAGCAGCAAAGGGCCAGCGCCTTGTACCAGGGAAAGAGACATCAATAATCAAGCTAATGTGCAACAGTGGTGGCTCATACAATATGTGTTGATTGTGTCTCACAGTGGCATCGGACACACTGACCAGCAGAGCATGAAGGACAGCGGCAAAGGTGACAGCGACTTCAATGATAGCGACTCTGATATTAGCGGTAGTGATGGCAGGAGAAACTTCAGCACCTTTCACCCGAGAATGAAAAGTAAGTGAAAGATCCAATATTACGCAAAATGTACTCTCGTAAGCTCTAAGTGATGTTAGAATGATTTTACCCCATCAAAAACATACCTGGAGTCTGTCTACATTTCCAAAGCTCAAAATGCTCATGAAGCGGTAATTTTCAAGTTAACAGCTGCCTTTTACCTTTTAGTTCAGGAGAGATTAGCAATTACAGTGCTGAAATTATCCAAATGATTCTAGTGAAGGTGTATGGAGTTTAAAAACACAGTGGAGCTCTTCCTGTATTACCACATGATATCACAAGGTGAGCAGAGTGTTTTCAGTTTGAGAGAACAACAGAAGAAACAACATTTGAACTTAGATCAGAAAATAGTGTAATCTTGGCCCTTTAAGACATAAAGGCACTAACATTTACAATGCCCACACAATAACCACAAGAAAACACAATCAATTCTTAAAAAGTGTACTCATTGTCAGTGACGTGTGCTGTATGATGCCTAGTAACGCTCCCCGCAAAAAGTGAAAATGGGAATTTGTATCCCCATTTCAATTAGCGGCAGTACATGTTGCCATCCTGGAGTGCAATGGCTCCCTAGTCTAGTGGGTCAAGCAAAAGTGGGTCACAGACACATTTGATACACTGTACTTTCAATGTTGGGCTGGTTTCCAGACTGGATACTTAAATGAACGAAACCTGCTATCTGTAATGAGGGAGAGGAGCAGGTTACAGCAACACGCTACATTACAATTCAGATCTGTGGGGAGTATTGTATTTCTGAGCTGTAGAAACACCCATAATGAATAAACGCTAGCTGGATATGTTTAATGTCATACCATTCCAGGCAAAGCAATAACATCTACACCAGAAAATGGCGCAATTCACCTTAAAAATTTAAACCAACTCTCAAATTTCAACCATAACCTAACCTTACTCGGCTGTTGTTTCCAGGTATATCCAGTGGAGCCAGCAGCCTGTGCGGAGAGAGCCAGATGTACTGCAGTGCTCTCCCTCCACAGTGCATCAGAACAGGCAGCGACAGCTCATACACTACAATGGGCTTCCCTCCGGCTCCTGCCTTGTGCCTTCCCCAGGGCTACCCCACCGCCGCTTATGGCACCAACCGGCCCAAATCCAGGACCAGCGGGCACAGCGGGCACAGCTTCACGCGCACGGGGACTCTGCCTTCTTACTTCTCTCAGCAGCACCGCCAGCAGCAGCACACCATGGGGAACGCTGCCCTGCACAAGCAAAGACCAAACATAGTAACTGTTGCTTCTGCCTACGAGGTCGCCACTATGTTTTAAATAGTTTGACCCACAGACATCTTATGAATTTATGGATAGAGTTGTTATAATAATGTAAATCAGGTGTACAGCTACAGTGTACATTTTTGTATATAGTGTTTATTTTGTGTATAGTATTTATTTGAGTTCATTGTATAACACAGATTGCAAATTTTTCTAATAAAATAATGTTTTATTAATATGGGAAGGTTTGACTTTTGCTTTCTTTTGACATATCAAGTATTTCATAGTAATGTATACAGTAAATGTAAGGCAAGTTTATTTGTATAGTACAGTTGATACTGAAAGTAATTCACAGTGTTTTACAGAATAAGACAGACATCATCAATCAAAGCATAAATAATCCTCATAAAATTAGCATTTAATGTTTAAGTTTGTACATTTTTTGTGCGCTAATAAAATCACTTATTAAGAACAGAGACCTCAAACTAGACTTAATGTGGTTGTAGGAGTAGTATTAGCAGTCTTAATAAATATTATTTGGTGTTATGGAACAAATTTTAAGTAATCAACAAGCAGGTACACTATATGCAAATGGACATTTTAAACCAATAAGCAAAAAAGTTCCTTTTCACAACTTCCTGCATAATTCATTCCCTCTCAAATATACACTCAGGGCCTGTTTACACGAGAACGTTTGTGACAAAATATTTGAAAACGACAAAATATTTTACCGGAACTGCCTTTCGTTTAGACGGTGACGGCGTTTTTGGGGCTTAAAAACGCAAAAATCTGAAACCACCCTCCAGAGTGGAAAAGTTGAATACACTCTGCCCTAGTGTTTCCATCTACACTGCCCAAGATGCAAAACTCTGGTCAGATCTGCTCATGTCGTGTATGTGTTGACGTCACAGCACACAGAAACAAACATGTTGGATGGAATGCATACCCAATCAGATTCCACACACTTTTGCTTCACTGTATGCACACAGATTTCCTCCCGAAAACGCTTGTCTAAACGCGGAATAAAAAGTGAAGACCCAACGCCATTTTTGCTTCTTCTGTTCAGATCGTCATCATATAAACGTAGCCTCAGTGTCAAAGTGTGTGAAGTGTCTTGCCCATGGACAACTGGTCAGAGCTGGAACTGCGCCACCAATCTTTGGGTTTGTGAGTCAACACACTTATGTTATTTGAACGTTCATAATTACACCATCAATAAAGTTGTTGCTAATTAACTCTCTTTTAAAACTTAAGTATATTTCCACTTGTGTTTTGACTATTCCAATCAAAAAACAAGAGTGCAAATAATCACGTATCATCAAGGTGAAATAATTGAGAAATGCTAAAGCATTTGAGACTGAATTTCTGCAACATTTCCCTGCAGCTATTAGCAACAGTGGCTCGCATTTGTAAACACGTCCAACTCTTTGCCCTGTGTGAATCTACCTGATGAAGAGTCAGTGATGATATGAAAATCCCACTTCTACTCTTTTTTACCTGGGAGACGGGGCTTTGAAGACTGCAGCTTCTGTGTCTTCAACCCCATGAATGCAAATGAGAGAGGAGTGAGCACTCTTGTACCTGAGCGAAAAATAAAGCACAAACCATTATTCCGACAAAACCACGCTGGGTCCTGTCACACACCTGCTCTACTTCTTCTAAATAATTTACATCCTGGTACAAAACAGGCATTAGGCGTCCCTCCTCAATGCATCTGTCATTTGAGTAAAGGCTTTTGAGCGTATCTATGAATGCAGCTCATTTAGCAGTAAGTACAATGGCGGTAAATTTACACAGTGTGAAATAGAGCATCTTCATCGACTCTTCTCACACACTGGAGAGGCATGATTTCATTCAGGGTGCATTACAGCAAATGACTGTAATATTAAATTTAGTCCTGAATATGTAGGGTGATGGCGTAACTTATTCAGGAGGTACTGATGGGTTTAAAAACATACAATTTCGAAAAAAAGCATCAAAATGATTTTCTATTCATAAGAGTGAGATGTTTTAGATTATCTTCAATGGCGGTGCCGTCTCAGGAAATGTGTGTTTTTGAAAGTAGAATTTACTTCGTGACAATACATGGGTCTAGGCTTTGGTGTATCTTTTGAGTTTTTCATTTGCGTATTTCCGTAGGGATTACAAGCAATGCAAGATAGATAGACGTAGACATGCTTTTGTGACTATGCAATGAAAGCCAAATACGCAGAAAGGTAGGCATGGGAAAGGTGCATTGTGTAACTTTTCTGGTGCAGGGTTCGGCAAATGCTTTTTTTCCATGGAGGTGTTATTGCTTTGTCTGGAATATTTCACAGTATGGTATTAAACCTTTCTATCTTCAAGGAGACCAGACCAGACCAAGTTACATTACAGGTTAGATCTGTGGCGAGTAAAGGTGTAACGATATCCAAGTCTCATGATACGATATCGTCACAGTATGAACGATATTTATTGTGATATTATGAGAAAGCTCACGATATAGTATGGAGGCTCACGATTAGGGATGTAACAATCCAAATCTCTCGGCATGATATTTTCACGATATACATCTCACTGTACAATATTTATTATGAAATTTTGTGGAGGCTCAAAACTGTTAATATGCTACTTTTCCCTCTTAAAATACTTTGACAAGACTTAATCCAAAGAACTAAAACTTAAAAGTGCTTAGAACTGTTATTTCTTCTTGTAGTCTACACTGAAATGGAGCAAAGGATCATGGTCTATGTAGTTCTGTCTGCCTTTTTTTTTTTTTAGCTATTGCTGCACCATAACTCTTAATTTAAGCAAAGGAACTTGTAATTCGATATATTGTGATGGTCCATGATATTATTGTGAGAACTTTGATGATACAATATCACAATATTTCTGTTATTGTTACACCCGTAGTGGCGAGACAACCCTGCTCACAGTCAGAATGCTTGAATGAATGTCAGAATGTTTTTCTAGGTATTTTTGAGCAAATGAAACATCTGTAATTGAGTATAGTGCACCTTTAACATCAGTCTGACCCCGGTGTTTGTAGCTGTAGTTGTAGCCTTACAGGATTTGTAAAATGAACTGAGGAATGAATATGTGAAAGAAAATTAGAAAGGTACTTCAGTCTTCAGTATTTATAAAAACTCATTTAAGAATAACAATTGCTGCGAGCTATGATAAGACCAAATTACGCTGTTTCCTGATCTATGTTATAATGTTGTTTCCTCATCACAAACATACCTGGAGTTGTGTTTTATTTTACTCACACATTTTTTACACACAAACCTGCATCTTTAGGCTGAGTTCTTTTTCTTTGAACTGAAAACATTCAAACTTGTCCCAACTTGTGATGCCATGTGGTACAGGAAGTGCTCCACTGTGTTTGCAAACTCCATACATCTTCACTAGAATAATTTGGTGACAATTTCAGATCTAGAATTGCCTAACTCTACTCAACAAAATGTAAAACTTGAAAACTACCACTAAATGACTACTAAATCATGTGTGAATGAAACAAAAAACAGCTCCAGGTTTGTTTTAGAGGAGGTATCAACATTATAACTTGGATCAAAAAATGTAATCTGGACCCTTTTAGGTAATGAAGAAATTGGTTGAAATTTTCTGCCCCCAAAGTCGCTTTGCCTTCATCAGTAGACCACCAAATGAGTCGTATCTGTACGCATCATTTGTAGTCACTAGGGCTGCTCCTGTTCCTTCAAGGAGACCAAACCAGACCAAGTTACATTACAAGTCAGATCTGTGGCGAGGCAACCCTGCTCAAAGTCAGAATGGCTGTTTTTCTCTGTATTTTTAGAGCTATAAAATCATCTGTAATTGAGCAAATGTAAGTAGAGTTGTTTAATGTCATACTGTGGAACATTCCAAGCAAAGCAGTGATGTATCCAAGCAGATCAGGGACCCCATAGTGCATCTTTAACATCAATCCAACCCAGGTGTTTGTAGCTGTAGCTGTAGAATTGTAGTACGAACTGAGGAATGAATATGTGAAAAAAATTATAAAGGTACTTCAATCTCCAGTATTTATAAAAACTCATTTAAGAATAACAATTGCTGCGAGCTATGATAAGACCAAATTATGCTGTTTCCTGATCTATGTTATAATGTTGTTTCCTCATCACAAACATACCTGGAGTTGTGTTTTGTTTCGTTCACATTTTTAACACACAAACCTGCATATTTAGGCTGAGCTCTTTTTCTTTGAACTGAAAACATTCGACTTGTTCCAACTTGTGATGCCATGTGGTACAGGAAGTGCTCCACTGTGTCCATACATCTTTACTAGAATAATTTTGTGACAATTTCAGATCTAGAATTGCCTAACTCTACTGAACAAAATGTAAAACTTGAAAATTACCACTAAATGACTACGAAATCATGTGTGAATGAAACAAAACACAGCTCCAGGTAAGTTTTAGAGGAGGTATCAACATTATAACATGGATCAAAAAATAATGTAATATGGGCCCTTTTAGGTAATGAAGAAATTGGTTGAAATTTTCTGCCCCCAAAGTCGCTTTGCATTCATCAGTAGACCACCAAATGAGTCGTATCTGTACGCATCATTTGTAGTCGCTAGATCTGCTCCTGCTCCTTCACGGAGACCAAGCCAGACCAAGTTACAGGTCAGATCTGTGGTGAGGCAACTCTGCTCACAGTCACTGCCTGTTTTTCTCGATATTTTTGAGCAATAGAAACATCTGTAATTGAGTAAATGTAAGTCAATTATTAAACATTTATTTTAATAAGAAAAGGTTTAACTTTACATATCTCAAAAGAAGAAAAAACATGCTAATTTTTCAGTAAATATTTAGTTTACCCCATAACTTAGTCACAGTTTTTAATTTTGTCATACTGTGGAACATTCCAGGCAAAGCAGTGACGTATCCATAGAAACAAGCAGATCAGGAACCCCGTCGTGCACCTTTAATGTCAGTCCGACCCAGGCGTTTGTAGCTGTAGCTGTAGCTGAACAGAATTATAAAATTACAGAATTGTAATATTAACTGAGGAATGAATATGTGAAAGAAAATTATAAAGGTACTTCAGTCTCCAGT